CTCTCTCTTGCCAACCTCGGTGTGTCCAGGCACTTAGCTGAAGCCCGTGCATCTTGTAAAGTGTTGTTAATTTTTTTTGGCTTATGCTTTGGTTGTCTTTCATTAATATTTTTGTTATACGTCCAATTGTGGGGCTGAGTCGAGATATATGTGTGTAAGTTTTCTGTATATTATTTACCTAATGTGATGTTGTGATCCTGGCCTAATAGTGGTAGCTCAATGGAATATATTTTTGTTATCAAGTGCTTCCGTTCAGGCCCCATACGTTATATATATCGGTTTTATGTCTGTTTCTGATGTAGTCATGCCCAAAACTTTTAGGGACGATTTTGGGGTGTGACACGATGTCTGATCGTTTTGATTTGTATAAATATTTTATTCAACGAATCCTAAATGGTGAACAGTTTAAACTACTAAAATCGATTTCAAAATAGATTTATCAAATTAAAATATTCTCTCAAATTGAAATGATTAACATGAGAAAAGCCCACCCAAAATAACCCAAGCGAAACCTAAAAATATAAAGCTCCTTTTCCCTCCTTCCTGGCAAGCTAAACTTATTGCATAAGCATATGGGTGAAACTCTATTGAATTCTTTGTGTGGATTTTTTTTATTCAATGGTAATTTTTAGAGAGAATTACACATTGGTGGGATGAGAAAAAAATATTTACAAAAAATGATAAATATTAATAATTGTAACTATAAATTTTTTCACTTTTTTGTAAATATTTTTGCTGAACTTCACTGATGTGTAATTCTCCCTAATTTTTATGGTCATATTATTTTGATCAACTGATTGAATTAGTTTTTAGGAGAAAAAAATTTATTCTGTGTAATTTAATTTCTTGTTATATCAATACTCTAGGCACAATAGAAGTTTGGAATTCTTTGTGAATTAAATAACTAATTAATTTGCATTGTATGCTCATTTAAACATTTTTGGTGATTCTTTTATGCAAAAATTAGTTTTAGGGTGAACAACATCATTGGTCTTTCTAGTTCAAGCAAAATTTTATTTTGATTTTCATAATTTTAATTTTATCAATTTAAAGCCTACACTTTCAATTTTATTTTAAGGCCACTGCTTTTCTCCGGTCCAATTCGAATTGGAAGGTGCTCTTGGGCCTCCATGGGCACACCATGGAGCCCACATCAATAATCTGAACCGTCAATGTGCAAGTCTCGTCAAGTATTTTATCTCTATAAAAAATCACGTTGATTGAATATCGATAGTCACGTGATTATATCACATTTGTGTCAACAATAAGTATAATTTTTAAAATAAATTATTTATACAAATACGATTTGATCAAGTGGCTATCGATATTCAATTAACGTGATTTTTTATAGGAATGAAGTACTTGACAAGTCTTACATATTGAACGATTTGGATCATCAATGAGGGCCCCATGGTGGGCCCATGGAAGCCCAACATCACCCTCCAGTTGGGATACCCAACTAAAGAGGTCTTCCTTATTTTAATGCGATCCTTCTATCAATTGTCATTAACATTTTAAACTGCAATACCACATATGTAAAATTAGAATGATCAAAATAAAATTCAAAATAAATTATAGTAATCACCAGAATAATTTATTCATTTTTCTTTCTTACGAGAGAATTTTAAAAAATTTCACAAAATTGCATATGCTTCTTTCAATCTAAAATACTAACGATAATGACAGATACACTAAAACGTAATGACAAAATTAAAAAGTGAATTTCAATTGAATGCTAAACAAAAAGTGAAATCATCGAACACCGAAATTGAATCCATTCATGAAATCTAAAAATAGAGGCCATGCATGACAGAGAGGATACACATTTTGGCAAAGTGGACAGTACAACATTCACCACTAATAATATCACTAAGAGGAAGTAGAAGATTTAAGGAAAATTTTTAGTAAAACTTAAAAAATAATTATAAATATATAGTAGATTTTATTAATATTAATAATTATAATTATATTTTTTTTTTATAAATATGTAATAATTTTCTCAAATTACCTCTAATTGGTAATTTCTCCAAGATTCAAAAGGATATTTATAATCTTGGAAAATAGCATTAATTACAAAGCTATTTCAAACTATAGCATTAATTACAAAAATAATTCCAGCTTCATCTAAATTTAGCTACCACACATTATTCTATAATAAAATTTGATGTTGGCAGGTACCTTAGGCCTCGTTTGGCAACATCACTTTTTAGCTTAAAAGTGAAAAAAGTCGCTAAAAAAATTAAAAAGTCAACAACCTATACCAAAAAGTCAAAAATTTCCTTTTTGCACATCTTTTCGTAAAAAATTAAAAAGTCGTCACAAACAAATTAATTTTTTTTACCTCATATTATAATCAAAAAATTATTAAAATAGCTTGTTCCCAAACAAGACCTTACTAGACAAAAAAGATTCATACTTTGAAGAATCCGGAATTAGCCATTTCTAATAAATTCTCAACACATTTAATTGTCTCAGCGGAATTGAAAGTTGATGAAACGTGTGGGATTTATGGATTTATTAGTTGGTATTTGATTGCAATATAAGGAGGAAGTGATTTAAAGTGGGAAATATGATAGGATTATCCAATTTGACATGTGTTTCACATGATATCAAACTTTGAATAATTTTAATATTTGTATAGAAAATTAAATAAAAAAAAATTAGGGATTAAATAATACTATAGATAGTGTGGTATTATAACGATTAGGTTTCTCGAGATTATTTTTTAACTTCATTCAATAGTCAAATATAATTATATATTTTTATTTCATCATAACTAAATATAAATCATAACCAAATACAATATCTCACTTCCTCTTCATAATCCTATCAGATATCTAATTATTCATCCCATCTAATCTCATGACGTAATTTATCCCTCAAGAATTAAAGTTTAAAAGAGTCTAGAAACCGAAATATTCCTCTCTTTTTTTTTTTAATTTTAATAATTACATGTGTTTCACAAAGTATTTATTTTTCTTGTCAATGACTTATTTAGACTTCAATCTCATTTTAACGTGAATAAGACTAGCATTCATCTTACTTATAAAATACTTTATCTCTGTATAAAATATATTCACTACGATCAACAAATATAATAGTAAAGAGATGCGACACAATAATGACAAATGAAAGTAATAAAGGAATGGACAAACCTAAATTGAAGTAAACTTACCAACAAAAATATATATACATAAATCTCCTGAATTTGATTAAGCAAATGGCCGTTGATAGAATCAAATAAAAGAGAAGAATTCATATATCTTATCCCATTTGATAAGACTTAAGGATTGGTTTGGTTTGATTTGGTTAGTTTGGTTTCAATATTTGCATAATTTTTACATTTCTTATATTATTAGAAATTGCATTTTTACAAATACGAAAATTTTGTTGTCTTTACACATTTTATAAAAATTAGTTTTGAGGATATTGTTAAAATTAGAGTAAACTAATGATTTTTTTTTTTTTTTAATACTAGTAAAGGTAAAATTATGTTTTAATAAACTAAATATTTTAGATAAAATGATAATGACAAGTACAAAAGTCCGACGTCGTATTACAAAAGTCTGAACAATGACACGTACATATGACATTTTCTGTTTTTTGACAAGAAAACGTTGGTGGTGGTGAATTGAAAAAATACATATATTTTTTAAAAACTGTATTGCTGATAAATGATTTTGGGTACTTAGACAAAAAATAAATAGATAAAATAAAATAAAAAATAGATCACAAGACACCTATCATTAAATTTATAATATTTTTTTATGAATTTCAATACACTTTTTAATGTTTTTATATCTTTCCAAGCTATTTTTTATCATTTCTTTAATGTTAACAAATGTATTAATGACACTAATGCAAAATTTGTATAATATCCTAAAATTATTAAATTTCTTAATTTGTATTAATTTTATTTTTTTAATTTTAAATTATTTAGTTTTCAAGAATTAGACTAGTTAGTTGACTTAGCCTTAATTTTATATGAAGTGTTAGCTATCAAATTCAAACTTAGTGTGAAAGAAAATATCAAAATTAAAATTAAAAAAAATTACAAAAATCGTTTGGGAGGCTTGTTTGTTCTAATATTCCAAGTCATGTTGTCCCCCACAAAATCAAAGCAAAAGGGTTGAAAACAGAAATTCATGGCTGATAACAAGCCTGTTAGTAGCCCATATTTTTAGTTCTCTGTCTCTCTTATCTCATTATTTATTTTTATTTTTATTTTTTTTATAGTAGTTTAACTTTGTTAGCGTACGTCCAGCTTATTTTTATTTTATTTTTATAATAATTTAACTTTGTTAGCATACGTCCAACTTCAACCGTTCATTTTTTAGGACTTTCTATATATATTATTTATGGGAAAAAAAATGGCGTCGATCTAATGATTGTAGTCATTTCATTTTATTAGGTTTGTTTCAGAAAATTAGATGATAAATGTATTTTTTTAAATAAATCATTTATATTTTTTGAAACAAATGCTATAAAATAAAAAAATAAAATTTATTGAATCAACCTAATTCTTTCCAAAGATGAGATATACGAAGGGTCTTATGAAATGGACTATTTGAATTATCAAAATAGGATCCGTGATGGGCCTATAGATTATATTTGAATCATGAATTTAAATAAGAATTTGAAAAGAAACAAAAAAAAAATTTGAGAAAAGTGTAAATGAAATATATGTTAAATTTTTTCTACATGTCTTTTAAAAATAAAAATAAAAAAATTCTATGGAAATCAACGATTCAAACGCGCAAGGAGAAGGTTTTTCCTTGTGAAGAGATGAAATTTGCATGAAATTGCAAACGAGGACTTGGGCACAACGGTTGGATAGGTATTACTACTTGGACAGCTTGGATGTGCCTTCTGTTCACGGCGTTTACTGGTTTTTAAAATTAAAAAAATAACCATTCTCACATATTTTCAGTTGATTTATTACACCATTCATCAATCTTTTTCATAACCCTCAAAATATCTATAAATACTAGGACTCTTTAGCTCATCACAACACCAAACATTCTCTTTTTCTCAAACCACATAATGGAGTTAAAGCAACCCATGATCAAAGAGATGGAGCCACAGCATGGCCAAAAAGGCTTCCTTGTCAAGGGTACTACGAAAATTGGTGGCCATGATTTTGAGGATACGAATTGTCGATTGGATTCGCTTAGAATGCTAGAGACGGGCTTGCCTAATGGCTCTCCGGAGAAGAAACTGGCATGGTTGAGGTCACAAGTGATCGGAAGCGATTTGGAGTTTGAGACGCCGTTTGGGAAACGCCGCCTCACTTATGCCGACTATACGGCCTCTGGCCGGAGCCTTCTCTATATTGAGAACTACATCATTGCCAATGTTCTCCCGGTTTATGGTAAATTTAAACTATATAACTTCTAACTTAATTTCTTATATGTGTAAACAATGAAGTAAACTCATGATTCTTAATAAGGTATGCATTTTATGTCAATTTTATAAAATAATAATAATCTTATGGTGTTTAAGTATGCGTTATGTTTCATTTCAGTCTCCAAGTTTCAATTTGTCAATTTTTATCCCTTTAACACCGTAAAGTTATGTTTGATTTTTTTTATTAATGTTTAAAGACTAAACTGACATAAAACTTATACTTTAAACATGATACGGATATTTTATTATAATTTTGTTAACGAATTAAAATTTAGATATGAAATTGACAAAATTAAAAACTTGTTGAACCAAAATAATACGGAACACATAATTTAAGAATCATAACTATATATATATATATAATTTTGACTTGTGAATTATTATGATACAGGAAATACACATACAAGTGACAGTTATGTGGGGCACCAAACCACAAAAATGGTGCATGAAGCTAGTAAGTATGTGAAAAGCTGCCTTGGTGGGAAAGAAGAAGATGCCCTCCTCTTTGTTGGATCTGGTACAACTGCAGCCATCAAACGCCTCCAAGAGGTCATGGGAATTTCAGTTCCATCCATCATGAGAGACAAAATATTAGCATCAATGGAGGCCGAGACCAAGGACGAGGATGAAAAGATCACTAAGCTTAGGAATAAGATCAGGAGTAGGGTTAATGAAGAAAGATGGGTAGTTTTTGTGGGTCCATATGAACACCATTCAAACTTGCTGTCTTGGCGCCAAAGTCTAGCACAAGTTGTTGAGATTGGTTTGGATGAAACTGGGTTGATAGACATGAAAGCTCTGAAACTACAACTTGAGAATTACCGACACACCAATCGCCCTATGTTGGGTTCTTTCTCGGCTTGTAGTAATGTCACCGGGATTTACTCCGACACCCGTGCCCTCGCTACTCTTCTTCATCGATATGGCGCTTTCGCTTGCTTTGATTTCGCTGCAAGGTATATGAATTGCGCTTGCTTTGATCATTTGTACTGTTAATTTTATGTGATTCGTTACAATTTAGTTTTCAATCTTTTAATTTTCTCATTTTGATCCTCAAGTACCCGTTCAAAATCAATAACACAAACAATGGTGTATTCAAAATTTTAGCAAAAAATAATGTAATAAAATTTTAGGATTAAAATGCATGCTTTGAATACACGTATTTGATCATTTGATTTTGTTTAGATTTCATATAGAATTTCAAAAATAACCCTATACATATATATGTGTGTGTATATGAAGTGGTCCTTATGTAGAGATAGATATGAGATCTGGAGATATAGATGGGTATGATGCAATTTTCCTAAGTCCACACAAATTTGCGGGAGGCCCCTCTACTCCTGGAATTCTCCTCATGAGCAAGGTCCTCTATCAGCTCGGCACCTGTCCCCCTTCAACTTGTGGTGGCGGAACTGTCAGTTTTGTCAATGGATTCAATGAGAAGGTACACAAAAAAGTCAATTTTACATATTTATACCATCTATACTACTATATAAAGTCTACACAAAATTGAATGAGGACTGTCACGTGTTTTACTTTTCTTAAAATATTCCAAACATAATAATTATTTTAAACTGTTTCAATTCTTACAGATCCATCTGCTTCAAATAACTTTCTTAGTTATTCAATTATTTCAAATAATTGTTATTTTAAATTTCACACACGTGTGAGTAACACCTTACCTTTAGTACATATATATATATATATATATGTACTAAAGGTAAGGTGTTACTCACACGTGTGTGAAATTTAAAATAACAATTATTTGAAAAAAATTAGACTTGATAACTATAGAAGTTTTATTTGAAACAGTTAAATCTAAAAGAATTAGAATAAGGGAAAATTACACTGACTATTTTAGTGAAAAATATTTACAAAATAAAAAAAAAATTATAAATATTAATAATTAAAATTATGAACTTTTAAATTTATTGTAAATAACTTTTGCCTCCGTTCTGAAAGTGGGTTGGCTTTTTGACTTTTTGGCTTTTTTGAATTTTTTAGCCTGGGCTAAAAAACTTGATTTGGAAATGAATTTTTGACTTTTTTGACTTATTTTGTGAGAGAAGAGTGTAATGATTATGGGTTGGATGTGATGTTTTGTTTGTTGTTACTAAAATAGCCTATTTTGTCTTTTGTGGCTAAAATAACCCTAAACCTCCTTGTCAAACGGAGCTTATTCTTCCTTAGATTATCTCCAATGGTGCATCTTTTTTTTTCATCAAATTTGAATAAAAACTCCATTTGATATTAAGTGTTCCAACAAGAGATTTTAAACTTTTATCAAAATACCGGTCGACCGAACGGACAACTAGGCGGATGTCCGGCCGATCAACTGACCAGTGTATTTTTTCACAAATTTTGCCTAGAGGTGGTCATTCAGGGGACATCCGGGGGGTTGACTGACCAGTATATTTTTTTCACAAATTTTTGTCTAGAGATGGGGGTGGCTATTGTCTTCGGGAATTCATCAATCCATCCGCCGCCGGAAGTGTCCACACCAGTCTTGGAAATTGAGCATGGCACTGAGGATGTGTTCTTATCAGGGTTTACTTTGGCTGAGGCTCAAGTGGTGCAGAATATTATGGCTGTTAATGAGGGAGTATATGTCAGTGCTCAATCTGTATACCTCATGAACAAGCTTCAACACATCCCCGGGATGGGATTGGGAAAGAGCGGCCGAAAGGGCGTCGCAGCATTAGCCGAAGTGCCGCACAATCTGCATACCTTTGGTTTGGGTTATCTGCCCACCAAAGAGGACTGGGTGAGGAAGGGTAAAGAGATGGCTGGGAGAGCAGAGCAAAGAAGGCGGGGAAGCCTTTTGAATTGATGCATAGGCCCATTCAGGGTACCCTAAACGGACGCTTCGTCCGGGAGGGGGAGGACTTTCCATTTTGTGGCTTCCCAGAGCCATGGCTGAACGCGGAGAAGAAGCATGTGCCAGGTTTCGAGATCTTCTTCGACCTGCAACTACCCGGGGATGATATTGCCGAAGAGCAGAAAAACCCATCAGCTGAGATTGGGCAGTGTAAGGCAGTGGATTCCGAAGGCACCGAACTTGAGATGGGGGTAGCGCTGGCATGTCTAATTTCAGATCCTTCGATCGACCAAAAGTGCTTGGGGGATAACTTCTCAGTTTCCATGATTGGGGATGAAACGGCTGCGGGCCTACCAGCGACTATTTTGGATGCATCTATCGCACCCTCTCTCACTTGGCAGTACGAGGAGGGGTTTTTGTCCAGCATCGCCGGGTCAGGTAGTGAGCCGGAATCTGATTCCACCGAGTCTTGTGAGTCGGAATCAGGTTCCAGCTCGACTGAGTCTGAGTCTGGTAATCCTGGGGATGATAACCCGGATGCCACAGTTATGTCCAGGTCGTCTTTTTCTTTCTTGTTTGAGTCTGTTGTAACCGAGAATTCGGACGATTTGGATGTGCTTAATGAAAATCAAGTAACAGTGGTTTCTGAGTACTTTGTTGTGCCCTTAATTTATTGCATAAACTCAGACTTTCAAAATTTTGATGAAAACGATGAGGAAGAAATTCCTCCGGTTTTGCAACGTTTAATTGAGTAGGAGCATGAGAGATTTGTCAAACCCTTAACAGATGAAATTGTTACCGTGAATATTGGTACTGAGGAGGACCCATAGCTGGTCCAGATCGGGTCCACGTTGTCTTCAGAGGAACGCGAGCGCTTAGTCGCTTTATTAAAAGATTTCAAAGATGTTTTCGCGTGGTCCTACGAAGACATGCCTGGGATCGATCCTGAGATTGTACAGCACCGGATCCCTCTTGACCCCAAGGCCCGACCTGTTAAGCAGAAACTCAAGAGGATCCACCCCGACTGGGCTCTCAAGATTAAGGAAGAGGTCACCAAGCAAATCAACGCAGGCTTCCTGCTGGTATCCGAATACCTGACTTGGTTGGCCAACATTGTCCCAGTGCCGAAGAAGGATGGCAGGATCCGAGTTTGCGTGGATTTCAGGGATTTGAACAGAGCTAGTCCGAAGGACGACTTTCCCTTGCCGCATATTGATGAGATGGTGGATTTCCCAGCGGGACATGCTTTGCTTTCGTTCATGGATGTCTTCTCAGGGTACAATCAGATAGTAATGGCACCTAAAGATCGGGAAAAGACTGCATTCACCACCCCGTGGGGGACATACTGCTACAGAGTAATGCCGTTTGGGTTGAAGAATGCCGGAGCTACTTATCAACGGGCCGCGACCACAATATTGCACGACATGATCCACAAAGAGGTTGAGGTGTATGTGGACGACATGATTGTCAAGTCCAATGAAAGAGAGGGCCACTACACAGCCTTGCAAAAGTTCTTTCAAAGGATCAGAGAATTTCGATTGCGGCTAAATCCTCAGAAGTGTACGTTCGGTGTTACAGCGGGAAAAATGCTGGGATTTCTGATTACACAAAGGGGCATCGAGGTCGACTCTTCAAAAATCAAGGCCATCTTAGAAATGCCACCACCAAGGACTGAAAAGGAGGTGCGAGGCTTTCTGGGTAAAGTGCAATTCATAAGACCGTTTATCTCGAAATTAACCTTGACTTGTGAACCACTTTTTGGTCTCCTGAAGAAAGGCAAGAAATTCCAATGGGACGGCCGATGCCAAGCTTCTTTTGAATAGATCAAGGAATATTTACAGAACCCGCCCGTGTTGTCGCCACCAGAGCCGGGGAAACCGTTGATATTGTACCTTTCAGTGACTGAGACCATAATGGGCTGTATGCTCGCGCAAGAATCCGAGGACAAGGTGGAGAGGGCCATCTACTATCTAAGCAAGAAGATGCTAGAGTATGAGACTCGCTACACACCATTAGAGAAGGCTTGTTTAGCTTTAGTATGGGCTACTAGGAAGCTGCAGCACTACCTGTTAGCTCACTCCGTAATATTGGTTTCACAACTCGATCCTATCAAATATCTTTTCGAGAAACCAGCACTTACGGGTAGGCTAGCTCGTTGGTTGTTGTTGCTCTCTGAATTTGACCTGAAATATGTGACACGCAAGTCAGTCAAAGGAAGAGCACTGGCAGAATTCTTAGCCGATCATCCAGTGGAAGGGGGCGAAGCAGTCGAGTACTCATTCCCAGATGAGGCCATTTTGCACATCGACGACGAATATTGGACGATGTACTTTGACGGAGCGTCAAATCAATACAGGTATGGGATAGGAGTGTTACTGATAGCACCCGACAATTCCCGTATCCCTCTAGCCTTTAAACTCCGGTTCAAAGTCTCGAACAACGAAGCAGAATATGAGGCATGCATTGCCGGTCTAGAAGCAGCCCTGGAATTAGGGGCAAGACGGTTGAACGTCATCAGTGACTCGAACCTTGTTGTGTCTCAAGCAAAAGGAGACTGGAAAGTCAAAGAAGAAAAGATGATGATGTATCACCAGACCTTGGACTTGTTAATTCCTAGGTTCGAGAAGCTAAACTTTGCTCATCTTCCACGAGAGAATAACAGGTTCGCAGATTCTTTAGCAACTCTATCTTCCATGATAGACATCCCGTTTAGAGTCCGGATGCGTCCAGTCATCATTGACCATAAATTTGCGCCAGCCTATGAGTCGATTGCTGCTATAGATGAGGTTCAGGATGAAAACCCCTGGTATTACGACATTTGGAACTTCTTGGAGAAGGAAGCATATCCGCCAGGGGTAAATGCCAAGGATAAAAGGGCAATCAGAAGAATGGCCATTCAGTTCATCATCTGTGGAAGTAAGCTGTATAAGAGAGGTCATCTGGGAATGCATAAGTTGTGTATCGAAGTCGAGGAATCGAAGCGCCTGATGGAGGCCATCCATGGAGGGGAATGCGGTGCACACATGAACGGAGTAATGTTAGCACGGAAGATCCTCAGACAGGGTTACTACTGGTCCACCATGGAGGAGGATTGTATCGGTTTTGTTCGGCGATGCCACAAATGTCAGATCCATGCAAATCGCATGAATATCCCGCCGTCGAAGCTGTACAACATGACTTCGCCATGGCC